GCAGTTCCAGACAGCCAGATTTGCTTTTCCATAAAAGGATTCAGGAGATATGCAAGGGTATCTTTGCAGCAAATCTTGTACTTTGGGGGCTTATTTTAATCACTTAAAAAATAGTCACACTCCAAATGACCTCTGGGAGCAGCCACTTGGCAGGGTGAGTGAATAATACAGAGCAAATCCCCAACATCCTGACACACGTGATGGCAAGAAAAGAGACTCTCAGGCTCAGACTCCACAAATCCCCTCTGATATGGAGAAAGGGGACATGATTTTAACCCTGAACTAGCAAATGCCCTTTTTCTTAGTGTGTGTGTGTGTGTGTGTGTGTGTGTGTGTGAGTGTGTGTAGGGGTTTTAATCAAGACCAGATAAATAATGCATGACTGAAAACAAGGCACTGTAAGTATTTCCTTGGACTCCCAGCCATGCCAACCAAGAGCCTGATTACATGTTGAGCAGACTCATATACACTGCGAAGAAGGGGAAAGGTTATAGCAAACCTCTTACTTCAGTGTCCCTGAATGAAGAATAGAATTGAAATCATTAGAAAAGACTTGCTCACAAATAGGCTACTCTGTAGTCAGCACATTCTGTCATCTTAAAGCTTCTGCAAAATCCAATTTGATGCAGCATTTCCAATATGTTGATTTCCTTTAGGTCAGCTTTAAAAATCTCAAAAAAGTTCTGCAAGATGAACTCCTGGGTTAGGGCTTCATGCAAACCCAAGAGGCAATAAGCAAGGAGGCCAAGAGCTGGTAGGAATGAGGGAGGGCATCATGTGTTCTATGCCCTTCAGGGCACATCTCCTCTGGGTAACGTATTAAACAGTAGGCACAGGCTTTTATGGTTCCATTGTTAAAAATCTCAGCATCAACAGTATCTATACCGTGGATACAACTGCTGGCTGCCTGAAGGCAATGGGAAAAACTATTTCTGTTTCCATAGGATCCTCACCACCCACTGACCTAAAGTAATTAAGTTATTCTGTTTATCGCCCCCCCCATAGTACTGGAGATTGAACCCCAGGGGCACTGTATCACTGAGGTACAGCCCATCCTTTTATTTATTCATTTATTTATTTAAATTTTATTTATTTATTTATTTATTTCATACATGACCATAGTGGAATGTGAGACTGAGTCTTGCTAAGTTGCATAGACTGGCCTGGAACTTGAAGCCCTCCTGCCTCAACCTTTTGGGTAGTTAGGATTACAGGTGTGCACCACCACATCTGGCTCAAGCTATTAATTGTTCAAGTAATTCTATTTTCTCAATACAAAAAAAAAGATGCCTTAATTAGCTTATTCAGTGTTGGAGTTTCCACATTGTTTATGAGTTTGATACAAGGACTCAGTTAAGCTATTAAAAAAAAAAAGGCAGGACAAGATGATGTCCTGCCTGTAATCCCAGCTGCTCAGGAAACTGAGGCAGGGGTATGGCAAGTTCAAAGCCAGACTCAGCAAAAGCGAGGCACTAAGCAACTCAGTGAAACCCTGTCTCTAAATAAAATACAAAATAGGGCTGGGGATGTGGCTCAGTGGTCCAAGTGCCCCTGAGTTCAATCCCCAGTACCCCCTGACCCCCTAAAATGATGATGTCCTATTGGCAGCTTGTGGACCCCAGTGCCACCATGGATAGAGTAAGATGCCATCCCACTAGGCAGCCCATCATTCCACAGGAAAGCTTTGAGGAAAACGGCTTATTCTCCGAGGCTCATCAAGCCCCAGTCTTTGCCAGGGATGTTAATTCTACTCTAACTTACTGCTTATTGGACAGATTTCTCTTTTGAACTGAAACAATTCTAAAGAGTCCTGGGGTCCATGGGAAGCATTTCTGTTCTCACTGTGAACCCAAGCAAAAAGTCTTTATGTTCATTCTACTTTATCAGCCAATCCCTCTGCAGCTGTTTTTACTACTCCTGCTATGAAAAGAGCATGCTATAATAGAAGAAAGGCCACAACAGCAAACTGTATGCTTGATAAAAAATGAACAATCAAGTACAACAGCCAGCAGAATGACTCCAGGGAAAATAACATTATATACATACTTATATGATCAGAAAAGAGTCAAATAATATTCCTTGGACAAATTACTCCTGCTGTAGTTTGGATTCTGAAGGTCCCCCAAAGGTCCATGTCTTAAAGATCTGTTCCCCAGGTTGGCACTATTGGAAGGTGGCAGAATGCTTAAGGGATGGAACCTAATGGGAGGTCTTTAGGTCACTGAGCGCTGCCGTTGAAGGTCACTGTGGGACCCCTGGCCCTTCCTCACGCTCTTTTACTCCCTGCCCTGAGGTGAATGACTGCTACTCACCATGTGCCACTGCCATGATGTGCTTTCTTTCCACAAGCCCAAAGCATTGGAATCAACCAATCACAGACTAAAACCTCTGAAACTGTAAGCCAAAATAAATGTTTTTCTCTTTGTAGGTCAAGTATCTCGGGTTTCTTGTTAAAGTGTCAGAACACTGTCTAACATGGTGCCCTTAAAATCTCACCAGGCATGGTGGCACACACCTGTAATCCCAGCAGCTCAGGAAGCTGAGGAGGAGAATCACAAGTTCAAACCCAGCCTCAGCAATTTAATGAGGCCCTAAGCAACTTAGCCAAGACCCTGACTCAAAAAAAAAAAAAAAATTAAAAAGGACTGGGGATATGGCTCAGTGATTAATTGTCTCTGGGTTCAATCTCTGGTACAAAAAGGAAATATATATATATATTTATTTATATGTATATTTATTTATTTATGTGTGTGTGTGTACGTATGTATTTATTTCCTCAGTACCTTTGTGTGCTGCTTAAACATCTCTGTGGCAATCCAGTGTTTTCCAAGAACTGGAGTAAGACTGGTTCAAATTCTACCTTCACCATTTATGTGTAGTCTTGGACATGTTTTTAATAAGTTCTGTGCCTTTGTATCCTCATCTGATAAATGGGAATAATAATCCAGTTGCTATAAGGATTAAATGTGTTAATACATGCAAAGCACTCAGAATGATGCTTAATAAAGCTATTATAGTCACGATAGTACAAAACTGATTTCACATGTATTATCACAGTTGATCTCATAAGCACTTTATAAAACAGCAGTGATGGTTTTATCCATGTTTTGTTGGTAAGCATAATGAGGCTAAGTTACTTATATCAAAAAAAAAAAAAACCATAAATAATCTGTGGATGAGCCAAGATTTGAATCCTGGTCTGTTGACATCAAACGTAGGATTCTTTCCCATTACACCCAATTATTTACACATACAGCACAGCAAACATACCACTATAAAATATTGACATTAGATGCATTCAGAACATAAGGGAACAATTGAGAACACACAGTATATACTCTAGGAGTTTATTCTTCTGATAAACATATTAACTGATCAGTTCATGTAAAGACTAGCTAGAGAAGTGAAAGCTGATTTTTAGACTCACTACAATAGCAATTTGGAATCCCGAAAATTCTGAAATGGGAGGAGGAGGAGAAAGTCTCAACAAAATGTATTCTTCATTCTAAATTTTACTTTTGATGAAAACAGATAAATTTTCATCTTGAGAAAATACACGGAAATGCAAAACTTCAGAATGGTGGAATAAATCCTCAGAAAGGGAACCAGAGGCTCAAATATCTTAATATGCAGTTTGCCATCTTATTGCTACTTTAATTCACGGACCAGCAGTGGACTTTGTAGTCACTGATATATTGATGACATTCAGGCTGTAGCTTCTTAGATCTACAAGACAGAATCTTAACACTAGAAATCCTTATCCACATGCAAGTGTTATGAGACAAGCAGAAGATTGGTCAATATAAATAAACAACTGGCACATATTCCTTCATTCCTAATGAATTTGTATGAGTTTGAGCATTTAAATGGATCCCTAGGGGAATAATTCTTTCATGACTAACACTCTTCGTAGTATTAGCATCTATTCTAATTCATTAAGCTTAAATGTGTTAGCCTTCAAGAACTTGCATGAGTCTTCTATTTAAAAAGATCAATCTCTTAATTTACGAATCCAGTTTTGATTTTAAGATGAACTCCATATACAAATCATTCAAATTATCCCTCATAATTAAAAAAGGCATTTTGATAGTCACATTAAAAAAATAAACTTCAAGCAAAGATAGAAATGTTAAAAATGATCATCTTAAACAAGACACTGTTAAACTATGAAAGACTAGAAATCACATTGTACATTTGATCAGTGTTTCTTTTTTTAATCAGTTCACCATGGGTTCTGTCAAATCTTTACAAAAGTCTCACAAGACCCTGAAAGCTAATACCTCCTTTCTGTTCATCTCACCTTAAAATTCCCACTCATCAGGGGCTGGGGAAGTAGCTCAGTTGGTAGAGTGCTGGCCTTGCATATACAAGGCCCTGGGTGCAGTCCCCAACACCACAAAAAAAAAAAAATGCCATTCATCCATGTGGATAGATGTGTATTTCACAGCTAAAGAAACCTCCCTTTCATTTTAATTGTGAAATTATATTTTTAATACAAGATACATAATATTCTAGATATGTGCACCCTAAAGCCAACAAGATGATGATATGTCATACCTGAGACTTATATTGTAAAATCTATAATATTTAAATAAGTCTCAGTGAACATTCCTGAAACACAGAATCATAAGATATTACTTACATCATTTACCTCCACATCGTACATGCCTGAGGCTCTACGACTTAGGGCAAAATTGAAAACACATGACTGAAAAGCATCATTATGCAAAGCAAATGATACTGAAAAAGTAGAAAGCGCGAATAACCATTGACTCTTCAAAGACAGATTTTATTCTGTACTTTGTATCCATGATTAATTCTTCCCAGCACAAACCTTGGTCCAGCTTGAGATCAACAAGCGCATGCTTGCTGGGTAAATGACCCAGGTCTCTGTGACTTGAGCAAAATGCATGCTTTGGCTCCCCATGGTGTGGCACACACACCCCCAACTCCCTGGTTGGTCCCTGTGAAGTCAGAGTCCTACCCAGACCCACCCTTACCTGTTTGCCATCCAAAGTGTACAGGCGTTTCACCACTCCGGAGTCCAGCTTGATGGCGTCGGTTATGTCAGTGAGGACCTGCTCAAAGGAATGAGCTGTCTTCTTGTTCAGCAGAATCCTGACAGCTTTCCGCGGCTTCACTCCACTCCTGATGATGGTGACCAGCTTAGGCCGAATGAAATCCTTATTCTCACGCACCTCTGAAGGGCTGCCTTTGGCAGTAGCCAGTGAAGACACTGCCCGGGAAGCTGAGGTGGTCTTGACATTCACTGACCAGTTGGGGTTCACATTCTTGGTATACTCCAGTTTCTTGAAGGGCTCTATTGAGCCGCACACATAACTCTCTCCTAAGAAAGAGAGAAATAGATTTAATCGACACTAAGCTAAACTTATTTCTTTTTTTCCTATTTTGTCTTTGGTTTCTCTTTTTCCACTTATCGTCAAAAAAGAAAAAAAGCTGCAACTTTTCATACAATACTGGAGTGATTAATAAGGAATGAAAAAGAAAGATTTCTGACTTCTCATCTGGTTCTCTCAGCAACAGATTGGAATCTTGGAAAAACAAAAAGTATTCCTCCTTTTCTTTGTCTTGGAATTAGTGACAGAAATATTGTTTTGCTTGAATCAGCCTAGAGAGGTATGAAATTGAACTCAAAATAGAAAATATTTTGGGGGACTTAGGGGTAAAAAATGTGTAGAAAATTTCAAAATCAGAGGTCTCATGCTACCTGAGATAATTTAAAATCTGAAAGTGAATCAAACACATCTTCTTAAAATAGTTATGAATTTATAAATGTATTGAAGTATATGCTAAACATTCCATCGCCAAGTAAAATTCCATAAGCAAAATACAAAATAATTCCCCTTCCTTTTCAGCCATCTATCTATTCACTGCTGATCATGGTAACCATATACACTAGAAAGTCAATTCATATTTGGTGTAAAAAGGTTTAGAAAATATTTACCCTACACACTGTAGCTTCCTAAACTGACTCTATAATAAAAATAGTTAAATTTGTATTTAAAATGACTCTTTAACATTTTTTTTAATTTAAAAGAAATACAATGACTCTAACACAGAATCTTTAAATGAAAATACTCAGGCTGTTAGGATGTGGATAACACACAAAAGAAACTAACACATGTACCAAAAAGATGAAAGTTATATAATGGCTGTTCTAAATACAGATTTCATAAAGTTAGGTAAAAGCATTTTGCAATTGAAGATTTTATAATGGATTTTTTATGTGTTAATGTCTTTATAACCAGGAAAAATGCTTAAAAAGCCTACATAATTGCAAGTAAAGTGACCTAGACCTCATCTAACACAACCCATTTACTTTTATCTAAATCCTTGGTCTATTTTTAAATTAATGGTGCAAGCATGCAGGGCCACAGAATTAAGGATCCACATAAAAATAACAGAACCAGTGTTTCAAAATTAAGAAAGGATAGCTACATATTATACATTTATTTTGAAATTTTTTTAAAAAATACTTCATTCTAATGTATTACATATACCTTATGCATCACCAGAAATTGCACATAACAGTATAAGTTAACTAACCCCCAATCCCTGGCAGAGCATCACTTGTCCTAACTATGTTTTCATCAGGATTTAAGTAGATAGCAAAAATATATATGAGAGTGCTACAACAGTGGCATTTTTTAATGCTCGTTGGAAGAGGATCAGGAAGCTACAGTGTGTAGGGTAAATATTTTCTAAACCTTTTTACATCAAACATGAATTGACTTTCTCGAGTATATGGTTACCATGATCAGTGGGAAAGAGGTAATCAGAAATTTTAGTTCAAGACTTGGCCTCTCCAAGCATGTGACCATGGACAAGTCCCTAGATGTCTGAGTGGTAGTTTGTCTGTAAAATAAAACCTCACTGGGTTTTTATGAAGGGCAAATTAGATAGTAGAGGGAATGGGGATATAGATCAGGGGTAGAGCACTTGCTATCTTATACAAGGCCCTAGGTTCAATCCCTAGCATTGGGGAAAAAAAAAATTAAAGTAGAGATCAAAGTGACTTCAACTAAGGGGAGGGGAGGGGAGAGGTGGGGAGGGGGGAGGGTGGAGGATGGGAAAGGCAGCGGAGCACAACAGACACTAGTATGGCAATATGTAAATCAATGGATGTGTAACTGATGTGATTCTGCAATCTGTGTATGGGGTGAAGGTGGGAGTTCATAACCCACTTGAATCAAAGTGTGGAATATGATATGTCAAGAAATTTGTAATGTTTTGAACAACCAACAATAAAAAATTTAAAAAAAAAGTGACTTCAACTACACATTGCAAGTGAGAATGACTTGAAGTGGCATTACCCTAATTGTGCATAAGCTTGAAAGGAAAAGTAAAAACTAAATTACTAAAAATCATAAGCAGGTCTTATGTTATTAGTTACTAATTCTTCTTAAACATGGTTACCAGTGGATATCACATTGGACCCACCTCAATGAGAATGTCCCTAATATTCCTCCCCAAAAGTACAGAGCCCATAGCATCCTGGATAAGCCAGCAGTTGTCACAGTTCTGTGCTAACTGAAGATATGCAATTGTATGGTTATTTGTAAGTTTTGCACACTAAGGTGATTGCTAAAAGCACAGAGGGGTTGGCATCTCAACAAAGAAAACTTTTAACTTTAGAAAAACAGTTGAGTTAGAAGAGGGTGGAATTTTAAGAGTGTAACAATATTGAATGGACTTGTTGGGGGAAAAACACATTTTTTTACATAATCTTAGATAAAGTACACTGAACGTCTTCAGAACCACTATGATGCATGTAGATTGGACTCAAGCAACAAAAAATAAAATAAATAGATATTAATCTGTGCTGTAACTGTGAGTTCCCCTGCCTTCATTGCCCACTAGGGTGGGAATCATGGAGAAGGATGTGAGGCTCCAATAAAGGATGATGATGGGCTAAAGGAGGAGGAGGAGCTGCCATCAAATCCAAGATCAGACACCACATGGTGCTCAGTCATCTAGAGTTTGCTCCACTTTTCAGAATTTCAGGAAAAGCTAGCATGGATAGTGTTCATTGACTGTGCAAATAAATTTACAACAAAACTATTTGGCTCCACATTTTTACTTTTACCTTAACAGTAATTTTGAACCTCTCTCTACCACTGAAGATGTGGTCTCTACCTTAACTCAGTTAAGTTAAAGTTGATTGTGTTTCCTGATTTTATTTTTTAAATGAGCTTTTCAAGCTGGGTGAGATGTCACACCTGTAATCCCAGTGACTCAGGCAGCTGAGGCAGGAGGATCCTGAGTTCAAGCCAGCCTCAGCAACTTAGCAAGGCCTTAAGCACCTTAGCAAGACCTGTCTCTAAATAAAATATTTAAAAAAGGGTTGGGGATATGGCTCAGTGGTTAAGTGCCGCTGGGTTCAATCCACAGCCCCACCACCACCACCACCAAAAAAAAAAATAAAATAAAAAATAAAAAACACTTCATCCCTCAATAGCTATAAGAAATTTGTTCCAGGATCCCCTGAGGATACTCAAAGTCTATACCATTTTATACTCCTGTTACTTGCATAGAACCTAAGCATACATTTTAAGTTATCTCTAGATGACTTGTAATACCTATTACAATGTAAATGCTATATAGGTATAGTTGTTAAACTGTATTGTTTAGGGAATAATAATAAGAATCAAAAGTCTGTATTTCTTTAGTATATATGCAATTTAAAAAAAACATTTTAAATCCATATTTTCATGGATGTGGAACCCACAGATACAGAGTGATAAATATAATATGCTAATATACATGTAATTATAAATTAACAAATATGATTATTCTGAATGGGAAGAATATATATAGTCTTGGTTTAGTCAAACAGCTCTGGATATCCAGTGTTTAATCTCTTAGTGAGACAAAGAGTTAAAAGATAAATTATAACCCTGTCTAGAGAATTATTTATAGGTTACATTCAAGTCTCAACATGAGGTATGCATAAGAGCTATTCCAAAATTATAAAATAAAATAAGACATGATTACTGTATCACATTCCCTCTTATATACACTAAGCCACCCCAAATTCTTGGCATAACTTCTACCGCAATAATAAAATAAAAGTGAATGTATCTATAAAACCAAGGTGTATTTGATCAAAATAGCCCAAAATTTGCTTTAATAGTCTTCCAATACTTTCTATAGGTGAAGTTAAACAAGGATGGCAAGATTGCAAAGCTCTTAGATCGTTTAAACGAAATATTATAAAAATCTGTTCAGTGGTGTTACTGGAAATTACAAAACTGATTGGTTATCATATGGCCAGTTTGGGTTTGTTTGTTTTAAGATATGATCTCCCTATGTTGATCAGGTTGACCTTGAATCCTGAACACAAGTGATCCTCCTGCCTCAGTCTTCTGCATAGCTGGGTCCGCAGATGCAATGCCACCAGCCTGGAATACGGCTGGTTCCATTTTAGTTTGTTCAAGCAAAAAAAAAAAAAAAAATCTATGATAAGATGGATCCCCCACTTGAAATATAATACTCTGGGTGTCTAAGCCACCTCAACATATGATAAGAACAGCAGATACAGCATCTGCCAAAATTTTGGTAGCATTTACAAAGGCCAAAAGTTAATATTTGCTTTTATGCAAGGAGATAGAGAAAGAAAATGATAACTACAAAAGGTAAGGAAACAAAACATGAATTTATGTTTGCATCCATCCAATACCCTCTAAAATATCAATTTAAAAAACAGTGATTTCTTCTCTGAGAAATTTAAAAATTTTCAGGAAGTTCAAGGAAAATATTTTTATAAACAGATTATATTTAAGACAGCGAAACATCCATGGTTTTGTTTTTTTTAATCACCTATGAATGTTAAAGTTATTCTATTTACCATTATTTTTCAAAGGAGGGGAATAAATTTTCTCTAATAAAGTTCATTATAAAAAGCTTACAAAGTTAATTCTAACCTTACCATTAGCTCCCATTTTTTAAAAAATATCTTTTTAGTTGTTGCCATCAACAACTTAATTTGATTTATTTCTATGCGGTGCTGAGAATCAAACCCAGAACCTCACACATACTAGGCATACTAGGCAAGTGCTCTATCACTGAGCCACAACCCCAGCTCTAGCTCCAATTTTTAAACTATAATATTTCCATTTTAAATAAGTTCTCTAGGCACCATTGAAAATTTTTGGTAATGAGGTACTAGTTCCCTGGTTGATCCAGGGAACAGTAGCTATGAAGAAAATCCTTCACAAGACTCCATATTGGGGGATTCTAGAAGTTTGTCCCATTTCCCCTTAATGCTGGAGTTTCAATGATTAGGAGCTGTGACTCACAAATTCTAGTTCTGACATTACTTGGCAT